CTTATAGAATAACAAGTATGTTGTCGATTGTCATAGCAAATATAAGTTTGCTTCATTGCCAATCCCACCATAGAACGTGGTGGGATTGGCCTTTTTTGAAATTCCCATCTGCACCTTGGCCCAAGGGCGTAGTTGTTCATGTGTTGAGATTATACGCTACTCTGCAATGGCTAGAGTCTCACTGGGGTCGTTTATGAAGCATAGGCGAGGTCAAAACTGCAATCCATGTTGCAGTGGTTCCAAAACTTTTCCTAGTCGCGGCGCCCTTTTTCAATCAAAATTTGTCCATGGCAGCCTAACCTAAGTATGAGTATTCGTACGAGATTTTAAAAAATAAAACTCGTGTATCTTCATTATTTTTTTAAATTTTATTATGAGTAAATTAATATTTAATAATTAATGTGATGGGTAAGCCTGCAAATCACTATATATTTTCTCAAATTGAGGCTTTTACAATATTTTGCGGCACCCCTGTAAAGAGGCCAAGTGCACAGTTTGGGAATCACTGTCATACTAACATGTTTTCAGTAGTATAGTGAATATTCGTATCTTGTGAGGATTTGGGCCAAATTCCTAAGCCAATGAATAGATTATGTAATCTTTCCCAAGCACAAGTTACTTTCACAGGTTTAAGTCAGTAAATGGTGATTACATTTTGAAGTTTACAAATAATACCTCAAAGTATTCCTTCATTTTATTGAGAATAGGTGAGATACCAACGCATCAAAGAAAGTCTACGCATGCGCGATTTTTAATGTTCGCTGTTAGGTATGAGTTTTTGTCTTGTAAGTGTGTATACCTAACTTTGCACTATGGCTATCCATGCTGTAGATTTAAGCTGTTTTTATATCATTTGGAGAGCAAGGAGATAAATAAGCATTAATTACGCCGATAGGATAAAGAATTTTGATTCATCCTGTTAGCTAATTGCTTGATGCTGCCATACAGCAGTAGAATGTTGGATTTATTTATTATCCTGTCTCCCACGACTGTTAATCGGCCTTTTTGGCATTATGTCTATATCATTAAATGATTATTGTTAATATGCATGATTAATGCGCCGCCCTCTAACTCACCTCTCTTTCACTGGTGCCGTTGTTATTTCTACAAATTTGCGACTTGTCTATAGTTGGTGGTGCTTTCAATTTACTCCTTTTTGCTTTGCCTATTATTCATTCAAATTCTCCACCGTATCACTTTTTTACTATATTTCTCTTCTTTTTTTCGTGTTACTGTAACGTCCACATTTGTTCATTCCCTCTACTCATATAAAGCTAATATCGCCTTTGCTAATTCACCTTACCCATAGGGCTCCTCGGTGATCGCCACCCTACCGCGTGTTTCATATATCAAGGCAATCGACATCTGGATCATAGTCTGTCTTCTCTTTGTGATCGGCGCTCTTCTTGAGTTCGCAATGGCTAGTAGCCGGGCTCGACGCAATCAACAACTAATCTGGGAGCACGAGGTGCGTAACCTCGTGCGTCAGGAGTTGGCGCGCACAATGTGCCCCTGTCCAGACCCGTTCACTACCAGACTCCTAGGTTTGGATATCGGACCCAGTTGTACCGGAGGAGGAGTAAACGAATTTGGGGAATACTTATACGCCGGCCTCCACGGCGTCCCACCGTTAGCAGACTTTAAGCACGATAAGGCTGAAATGGCTTGTCCATTGTTGACGTCGGATGGATTTCTGCCTCATCATGACGAAGGACC